ATGTCACACCAATGTTGAGAAAACGCTTCCCTGCAAAAATCGTTGGACCATGTAGTCTATTTGTGGTAAATTGGAGTACTTACAAAAGTCATGCTGTAGCGGACCAACTTGTGTCTCTGCGCCAGCTTATTGTTTGTTATCCGATAACTGCTCGTGTTTTAACGAAATGTGATTGAAGTTGAGCATTTGAAAGCACATTTGCATGTCTGGCTGTAGCTGAACTTGTAGAGATGCTCGCTGTTAGCTCTTAGCTCCCAGCATGTTCGGGTTCGAATGCCGTCAGAGGCAACATGTAATTTTTAATTTTTGTCTTGGTTTTTATTAATTTCGAAAAAGCATTAGAGAAGTGAAGAACAAAAGCGTGTACAAACGAAAAAATATAACAACAATGCCATTGTTAATATGTTGGAGTACTACTCTGATGTAATGCAGGGATGGAGTATATGGTCCTGCCCTAGGACATCGCAATGTTAATTGGACCATATTTTTTATATGAATTGTGGTTAATTTTGGAATACTCTTTGGTCCTTTACACGCATGCATGGAGTATTCGCGATTTTTGCAGGGCTTATCCACATACGCGACCGTATTACACAGCGAGACAATAACCCGACATTCACTCAAACTAATGCCGAATAGCGTCAACATGCCTAGTAGGCCGATACATTTTTGCAATGTATCACCAACTTGTGAAATTTCCGATTTGAAAAAGAAGCCCACAATGGATGCTTGTTCCGCGAGCGAATGTATAAAACAGTACATGAAGAAGATCACTTGCAAGAGCGTATTGAGATAACCCAGGCGGCTGATGCGCAACGTACGTTGGCCACACATTGTGCCGTGTATGCGAAAAGGTGTCAAGCCGAGTAGAAAGTTGAACCATAGTAAAGTTTGTGATGCGCTATAGGCATCAGTCGGACTGAAGAGCTCTTTCCAGAAATGCATTATTGACGCGAACAGGACTATTGTATTCGAACTAAGGAGCTGCCGTGTGTTGGCTGTAGTATTTATACTAGCAAAGAATATGATTAGGGCGCGGCGGTACGGCGCGTGAGTACTTTAAAATTTATAGATTTGTTGATTGACACCTTGTAAGAAATTAATTTTGACACTGGTAATTTGTTGGAAAATTGATTGCCTGGAAATACCAAATATTTGCTACTTTCTCGTTAAATTTGTCGGTGAGTCGAGAGGAGTTAAAGTTGTTGTCTGTCGTGGTGCAAGTGGGTTGCCCAACAATGGGAAGGGTCTTTGAAAGTATATTTAACAGTCCAAATTCAATAAGTACCCGCAGATTGCGATAGTACTTTAGCAATTAGAGCGAAACTTTCCAGTATCGTCCGTCATGTGAGCGTCCTCTGTGAGGGAATGCCAGGAGATGGCACGCTCCTCTAACCAGTGGCCAATTTCTGTAACTCTTCTCTACCGATTATTTCTCTACTGGTAGAGAATATACGTCATTCTCTAATAGTCATTAGCAGTAGAGAACAAGGCGGCGAATTCATATCTCAATTCGCTTTGGTAGAGAATTGTTACAGAAACGAGCTACTGGTTACCTTAACAAAGAGAAAATAATCAACAATCAAGGTGTAAACCTACTAAACGTCATTCTCTAATAGTCATTAGCAGTAGAGAACAAGGCGGCGAATTCATATCTCAATTCGCTTTGGTAGAGAATTGTTACAGAAACGACCTACAGGTTAACTTAACAAAGAGAAAATAATCAACAATCAAGGTGTAAACCTACTAAACACTTTTTTGTTTTGTCAGAATTAAGTACACAAAACAACGCGTGCAGAATACAGCACTCACGATTTCTTTTTTCTCTGTTTTAAATCTACTTGATTAACGAGTAAATGGAAGCAGAGTGTTGGGTTTTTAAAGAGCTCAGCTGTTCGCCTCCCCAACACATCGCTTCCAAAACCCTCATACCTAACCCTTGCAAGGCGGGTAAGACACACAAAAAGTGTTCCGCCGTCCCATCCTATTCGAGGCAGGAAGGGCAAATGGGGTCGTTATGTATGCCGATCACAGTTAGGTGTTTGTGCCACGAGAATTGTGCAGTCTCACAAATTGTCTGCAGTCCAAATTGTTTAATGTAAACGAATGCCTAGCACAACCCCTCGACACTGAGGGCAACATGAGTTTAGCCCACCTGTATCCTCTCCGAGCCTCCCAGTCATTCATCCAGGTCCTAATTGTGGCTTCGATGGTCGAAGGTGGGATTCCTGGTCTGAGCCCTCTCTGGCCAGATGCCTCACTACCATGTACTCCCATGGCTTTGAGGATTACAAATACCTCGTCTTGGGATACCGAGGCATATTCCCCACGGGAAAAGTGAAGTTCATCCCCATTACCTTCGACATAGACACTAGATCCTCACCCAATGTCAGGTTTGGTGTCATCAGTCAAGATTCGACAGTGTGTGTGCTCAGTGCTAGAATTAAGCCAGTATACATCCTCGGGGAACTCAACCTTGTAGAATCTCCGAAGAAGGGGCAATGGTAGCTACTATCCTGGGGTAATGAAAAGACACTTGTGTCTAGATATCTGTCACCAGTAATCTCCGCCTCGCCCCGCCAAGTGTCATACCAACATAAATTTATTTTAAGAGAGCATCATGAGCACCGCCTGGCGTTATAGAGAAAGCTTCCGTATAGCACACGGCGACTGTTCCTTGAACTAAATACTTGCTGTTCCAAATAAAATTAATGAGCTACAAGAGTTCCAACTGCGCTATCTCTGCCAGATTGACTCGTAAATCGACATAAAATAACCCTGAGACCTCATAATCATCTCGCTTAACACAGGAGTCATTTGTAACGGTTATCGTTAACGTCTTTGCCTCGTTTTTTGACATCTTAGAGCTATACCTGATCAGTATTTCCAAAGGAACCCCAATCTCATTATCTTGGATCCTGCTGCTTTCAAAACCGCTTGGCTTTGGTGGCATTTTCGGCAGGTCTCGTGCTATTTAATTGAAGACTATCTGGCTTCTCGATAGCATAACTTTCAGCATGAAAGATGCTACAGTTGTCTGGCTAAAATACTGAGAAGTATACCGAGTAGATATCAATACCGGTTCCTTCCATATATACGTGTAGATGGATTATGCGATCATCTGCCAATTGCGGTGCATCCCATTTATATCTATCTCGAAACCGTATAGATAGTCATTCAAGCAGTTAAGTAGTAAGTTTTGGCTTCTAAGTGCAAATTTGAAACAGTTAAGCTGATCTTCCTTATTTCATTCAGTATTACTGGGTACCAAAAGTGGATTGATTCCCATTTGCTGGCTTGCCTGAACACGTTAGCCTTTGTAATATGAAAAGAATTTTCCACCATACTTGTGGCCATGAGTTAGCAAACTGTTACATGAGTATAGCAAAATAGAACTCCATCCGGGACTTCGGACCTTAACTATAGCTTCGTTGAGACACTAAACAAAAACCTTTGTATTGTTCCACAATATATAGGGTATTTAGTTAGTAAAAACAAAGAATTGTTAGATTAAATTTGAATTCAAAAACGAACGCTGACGAAGTAGGCGAAACATTTTGGTTTGTAGTTTCTTCGTTTTCCATGTTCAATGGAAAATATTTCTACAAAAATAGCATTAAAACCTTAGAGAACGATCCTTTACGGCACTCAATAAGAATATGTATGTATGTACATAAATATATCTTAGTCTACAGTGCCATGTAAGGATACCTCTAAGTATTCAAGTTAATCTTTTGCAAGGCAACACGCCTCAGTTTCTTCCTAAGAACTCTTCTTCTGGAGAGCTTTTCGTGAGTGTTGATGGAATGCGCACCGAGGTGTTTAAACTTTAATCCATCAAATGCTACGCAGCTGAGGAGGAAGTGCTGAGATGATTCCACCTCGTCTTTCAAACAGCTGCGGTAGTAGGGAACCATGACGATATAGCGTTTATAGCGTTTGCCTGAAAGACGCTGCAGAGATCCGGCATATCTGAACATATGATCGACTGAGAGTTAGTGACAGTAGACACCTACTCTAACTATCCAGTTTAGCTTCGATCCGTCCGTGAAGATGTTTATTGGACTTCTACTCTAGAGAATGCCGTTCTCCCATTTGTCCCTTGGAGAGATGTGTGTGCGGAAGATCTGTTTGGAGACAGCATAGAAATAATTCGATCCACTTCTAACTAAAAGATGACTAAAGATGATTTGAGTTCGTATGATTGGATAGCATAGAGCGTCGGTGGCTATCACTGGCACACTAACAGATCGCATAAACTTCTGCCTCAAAAATGTTCGCATAGTTTCCCATAGGGATAGAAAATTTTGTCCCGGCCAGATTAATTCTTTGGAACTCAAGGAGAAAAGAGTTTAATTAGGTCACCTAATTATATTTCTCTCAACACATGCTTTGTTTATAGTTACCAAATCTACTACTAAGAGTAGTAACTCTTTTTCTAGTGTACAGTTTTCTTAGGTTCGTGGGACTCCATACAGAGGACTTGCCTGCTAAGCGCTTGCACACCAGTAAAGCTTTCGTGGCTTAGGAAGTGATAATATTCAAATGTTCCTTCCATAGAACATACATGTAATATATGCTTAATCCTTGTTACATCTTCATAAAGCAGTCATAAAGACATGGATTAGACAAAGATTGGAGACGTATGCATATATGTGCCACTGTTCAATAGTAAGGGTTTTTTTTTTTAGGTTGTGTCTTTTTTGCAGAGAATCATACATATATAGTTCCGGTTGGTGTGGTATCCTCGGCCGTCTTGACGGTGGCGTAAACTACTACGCTTTAAAAAGTGCCAGCCCATAGTTGGTCAGCTCTATAGATTAGTGTGAATAGGGTTGCACATTAAACTTTTTTAGTTAGCCCCTAAAGAATCGTCACAGCCCGACTAAAATTATGGGTCGATTAAAAGTCAGTGGTACGCTGCTCTGAAGTCGACTTAAGAACTTCTAAATTTTACCACAAAGTTAAAAATTAGTCTCACCAACTCTAACCAACCTCACCTTATTCAACATAACCAATAGCATTTCTACCATCTTTGTAATGCCTTGAAACATTGCTGTGGCAATCGAGATCACAGTGTGCTGCAGTGTAAATACTATATAAAGCGGCGTCGACGGCTCCAGGCTAGCAGATTTCAGTAGCATAAAATTACCAAACGAGTATGCAAAATCCACGACGAAGACCACCAACAAACTCAGGTAGCAATAACGCAACACTTTGCTATACCTGATATGTACACCAACATTGCGTAACAGCACATCAATATCTTGCATCGTACTTAAGCTATATTGGAGGCGATGTTTGGGAAGAATAGCCGTAAAAAAGATTACAGTAATGCCGATAAGGCCACTCAAAATCTGCATAGTGTCACCGAAGCGTGAGATTCCCGTGTGAAAGAAGTAACCCGCGACCGTTTCGAAATCATTCAGCAACGTCAGCACATAGCAGGCTACATACATGTTATGTGTATCAAAGTATTGAGATAACCGAAAATCGACTCCTTCAATTTTTTATTGCCAGCGCCGTCACTTTTGATGAAGAACGGCGTTAGGCCATGCCAAAAAGTTACCGCGAATATTGGCTGCACCGCTGACACGTTGAGGGCGCGTGATGGCGCACGCTTCTTGTGCCTCAATACTATTCGTGTCTTCGTCCATTCGCGTTGACTGCGCTACGCTAACTGGTCGCACGTTGGCGTCTTGTTGTGACTTTTTATCCCGCGCGGTAATGTCGATGTCAATGCTGGTGCCATATGGCAGTGTCAGTGTCCTTGGTTCGAGTGCATGAGTGGCCATCGATGATATGCTCAGTTTACGCAATTTCTAATGATCACCGATATCCTTTTTTCCGCCTAGTAAAGTATACACTTTACATATGCAAAATAGTGGTGGCCGGAGTTGTGGTTATGTTTAACTGTTGACAATTAAGTAGATTACTGTCGCTAACCCACCTGTTGGTATGCCACTCACACCAAATCCCCTAATAGGACATTAGGCAGTGTGGTGGCTACTGCATTGCTGCCCGTGTTCATTAAACACTAAGCTTACTAAGGGAGTTTGTAGAAACGACCAATGTAGAACACCACAAATACATTTACATATGTACATTAGGCCGCATCCGAAAAGAAAACGTTCTTCGTACACCCCTAAGACTAAAGTATTTTTGATGTGTAAACAACTTAGCTCCCCAGCAGAAAATCCGTAATTTCTTCTTGTGTGCGCAAATGAACATTTCTGGACTACATAGTTCAGGGCCATTCAGGCCCATTCACTAGTCAAGACTAGTTTAGACCTATTTCGGGACTAGTTCGGTATCACCTCGATACCTATTCAGTACTATTTAAGGCCTATTTCGAGATCATTTCTGGACTTGTTTCGGACCATATTGGGTCTAGCTAGCGACTATTTGAGGCCCATTTCGGGTCTAGTTCTGGACCATTTCAAAATTAGTTCAGGAATATTTCTGTAATATCTTAGGCCTAGCTCGGGATAAGTCTGCGCATAGTCTAGGATCATTTTGGGAATAGTAGGGGACCATTTTGGGACTGTTTAAAGTCTTGTTCGACACCATTTCGGGAGCTATTCTCGATGTGGTTATGAAAAAGTCGTGTACTTCTTCTTCTTCTTTTTTGGTGCTGTAACCGCCTAAGCGATTTTGGCCGAGTTCAGCAAAGCACGCCAGTCGTTTCTCCTCTGTGCCAACTGACGCCAATTGGAAACACCAAGTGAAGCCAAGTCCTTCTCCACCTGATCTTTCCATCGCAGTGGGGGCCTCCCTCTTCCTCTGCTACCACCAGCGGGTTCCGAGTTGAATACTTTCAGAGCTGGAGCGTCGGTGTCCATTCGAACGACATGACCAAGCCAGCGGAGCCGCTGTATTTTAATTCGCTGCACTATGTCCATATCGTTGTAAAGCTCATACAGCTCATCGTTCCATCGTCTGCGGTACTCGCCGTCTCCAACGCGTAAAGGACCGTAAATCTCGTGTACTGGTCCCTATAAAATTAGTGAAATGAAATAAAATACTATAAAGATTTAATTTCTAACCTAACCAATTTATGTAGGCATGGAACTGAATCGCTTTATGTTTTGCTAAGTCCTACACAGATGTCTACACAGCAACCGGTACTTGGTGCTCAAGCCTTTTTTTCAAGGCAATTTCGATATTTTTTTCGGCATTTTTACATTTATGTATTGTCATTTGTTATCGACATTTACTGTCGGATTTTAAAGTATGATATATCGATGATCTTCTCTAAAGGAGCGATTTTTGTCCAACCAGATCTCAGTTCTTATCACCCTAACGTTCCACCCCAATGTCAGTAAATTAAAGCTCGCCAAAAATCAAAATCTAAAATTTTTTTTCTTTGAAATTGCAAAAATACTTTTGCCTCAGGTGTGTACGGCGAACTTTTTTTGTTTGCTTGTAAGGTGGTACGGTCTAATGTATATTCATATATACCTACATCATATATGTAATACTTCTATATTGGCAGTAAGCTAACTTCTCAATGTGTAAGCATTCCGAAATCAAAGCGAGACAGTCTAGTACCATTTTTCTCAATGTATTGTGTACTTGAGTGCCGTTTTTAACCGACTTCCAAAAAAGGAGGAGGTTATCAGTTCGTCGGAATATTTTTTTATATTTTTTTTTATGTATGTTACCGCATAACTTTGGACCACGTCAACCGATTTCGATAATTTTTGCATCGGAAAGGTAGTGTCTCAGAGGTGGTCCCATACTAATCTGGTTAAGATCCGATCAGCGGATCATGAGATATATATATATATATATATTTTTTTTTATATGGGAGTTGAAGTCGGTATTTTTTTTGCTAAAAATTACTTGTTGTATATGTGTTGTGTACATGTTTATTTATAAACGTATGTGTGCCTTTTCTTTCGTACGTGTTTATTGATATATCTGTACTGTACTGTTTTCGGACGGTACTAGCTCTTACTGCCAATATAGGAGTATTACATATATGACATACATACATACATACTTAGGCATATATGTATACTCGTAGTTAAGGAATAGTACACAATCGTATTCTATTGACTTGTTGCACTTTTAATTGCTCGTCGTGGACATATTTACGCACCTTCAGCTACTAGTCAATTTGCATATGAGAAAATGGGTTTTTAAATTAAACTAAGTATATTGTTGACACATTCCAATTAAAGGTTTTGCTGTATGTATATTAAGGTAGCTCTTCATCTTTAATGCATGCTCATATCCATATTATAGTTTGCCACAATAAAGTAGCCATGGGTAATTGCGCAATTTTTTTGGCGCTAGCTCAATAACGCCAGCGCCACCTGTGGTGTCAGCGCACTAACCCAGCGCAATAGCGCAGTGTACTGAATTGAACACGGCGCCATCTGAGTGTCACCACAGTACCCATCGTCATACAGTGCAGCACACCATACAGTGGTGTCATGTCTATTATTTCGATAATTTTCGGCGCTGAGCAACGCTTGTACCGCCAACTGAATTTAATTGCTAGGAATGTAGTAAATGCCACGATATTCTATCATTCTTGAGTAAAAGCTTTAAATTTGCGTTCTCAACACTCAAAAGCAAAAACAAAGTACGTGTAAATTTTCATAGAGTTAAGGCGAATTGTGTGTGTGCCTCATGTGCTGCTTGGTGTTAATGGCGCTGGCGCTTTCCATATACTGGTGATGGCGCGGCAACTCGGGCTACGGTGTTAACGCAATTGCGCCGCGCAGCGTAGTGTTACCCATGCCTACAATAAAGGGATGTGGCCAACCTTTTCACCTTAGTGGAGACAAATCGCGCTCAAACGATTTTTTTTATACCTTTCATGAGCATGAAATGGTATTATAACTTTGGTCCGATGTTTGTAAGTACCAGAATAAGAAGAGATAGACCCATTAAAATGTATACTTAAATGATCAGAACGGCGAGCTGAGTCGATTTAGCCATGTCCGTCTGTCTGTCTGTCTGTCCGTCTGTTTGTATGCAATCTAGTGTCTCAGTTTTCGAGATATCCGGATCAAATTTGGTAGGTGGGTGTATTTTTATAATGTATTAATCATTTGTCGGAACCGGAAGAATCGGACCACTATAACATATAGCTCCCATACAACTGATTGTTCAGATATAAGATTTTTCGTTATAACTTCTCCATTTATGCAGCTGGGAACATGGCATTCCGCGATATTTCCATCCATTATCAAAAACATGCTTACAGTGAAAATGGCGAAGATCGGGTCGCTATAACCTATAGCCTCCATACAACCGATTGTTCAGATTCGAGATTCTTTGTTATAACTTCTCCATTTATGCTGATAGGAACATGAAATTTTTTATTACTGATACCCATTATCAACAGAAAACTTAGAGTGAAAATTACAAAGATCGGGTGACTATAACCTATAGCTCTCATACAACTGATTGTTCAGATATAAGATTTTTCGTTATAACTCCTGCATTTATGTAGCTAGACACATGAAATTTTGCACTGTTTTCACTTATTATCAAAAGAATACTTTCAGTGAAAATGGTGAAGATCGGGTCGCTACAACCTATATCCAGCATACAACTGATTGTTCAGATATGAGATTTTTTGCCATAACTTCTTCATTTATACAGCTAGAAACATCAAAATTCGCACCGTTTTCACTCATTACTAACAGAATACTTACAGTGAAAATAACAAAGATCGGGTCACTATAACATATATCTCCCATACAACTGATTGTTCAGTTATGAGAATTTTCGTTATAACTCCTCCATTTATGCACCTAGGAACACGAAATTTTGCAATACTTCCACCCATTAACAACAGAATATACAGTGAAAATAACAAAGATCGGGTCACTTTTACATATAGCTCCCATACAACTGATTGTTCAGATTTGCGATTTTTGTTATAACTACTCCATCTATGCAGCTCGAAACATGAAATTTCGCCCTATTTTCACTCATTATCAACAGAAAGTTTACAATAAAATTAACAAAGATCGGGTCACTATAACCTGTTTATTGCCCCATACAACTGATTGTTCAGATATGGGGTTTTACTGTAAAACTCCTTTATTTGGACAGCTAAAACCGATAAATTTAGTAAGCTATTTTTTAAATAATAATACAAAGTCTACTGAGAAAATCATCAAAATCTATGCTGTACAATCATAACTCTTGTACCACTGATTGTTCCGATACCAGTTTTTTCGATATATGTATCTCCTTTATGTAGGAAGCTAAACCCATTAAATTGTGTTACCGGTTTACGTACCGATCACAAAGTAGTGAAAATCACTTAGATTGGTGCTATATAAGGTATATCTTCCATACCTCTGATTGTTTAGATATGATTTTTTATATATGTATCTCCTCTATCTATGCCTGCTGTGAATATATAAATTTATTCAAATGCAGTAATCTGTTAAAGTAAAATTTTCAGATGCTCATGAAAGGTATGAAGTCTTCGGCATAGCCGAAGACAGCGCTGCTCTTACTTGTTTTTAATTGTGATAAGTTCGAATGCACTGCTCTTCAGTTGGTTTCCGGACCGTCCAGGACTAGTTTTGTGAACCTTTCAGAATTTTGTCGGGATTTTCTCGGCATGTTTTCGTGATTGGTTCGGATTTCGTTGCAGATGGTTGTTTTTGTGTTTTATTTTTCA